ACTTTACATCGAATTAAACATCAAACTAATTTCTCACAATATTGCCTATCTTTCCAATAACTTTTACTCGAACCTGTAATTAATCAACCAAAGCAGAAATCTCAAACTGGGTAAATATACAGAACGTCAAACTCGATTAAAAAACAGATATCCGTTACATGCATTCTTGGACATATTCAGCAATATAGAATAAATCAATTGAGGTGCTCTGTGAGCCCCCTCGTCAGATGTAGCTTAGTGTTTTAGTGAAATAGATTAACTTAGATTGTAAGTCAAAATAGCAAATGTAAAGTTAAAATAAACTGAACTTTGTAATCTCATTGAGAACACAAATAAATTAAAAAGAAAAAAAGGATGGCGATGCCACGGAGAAGCAACGGCGGGAGGGGGAGGGGAGAGAACAGCAGGGGAATCTCGGCGGCCCCTCCCACTCGAGGTGGCGTGTGCATGCAGATGTGTGCAGAGGTAGACGGAGGAGGAGGAGGGACACGTGTCTGTTGCAGGCGACCGTTGTGTCGCCCCTCCTCGAGCGGCCCCTAGCCACTTCATTCCGAGGGCCTAACTGGGGCTCTCGGCGCCCGGAGGGGAGATGGGGAGGAGGTAAGCTCGGGGCTCAGCGGGCGGCGCGGCGGGCACCACAACTCGGAAGAAACAGGTCCTTCCTGCGAGAGGTAGCATCAGCGTCGGAGGAGTGCTCGGCCCGTGACGTACGAGCTGCTGGAAGCGGAGATAGGTGGACGGATGGCGAGTGTCTATTTACTTCTCTGTTCGATAGGTTTTTGCAGTTTGTAGACGCTAGAAAATAGTCTTCACGTTCATTCTCTCTTGTGAGAACAAGAAATAATTGATACACTGTAACGACGTCCGCAATTAACTTGTTTCTTATCCATGTTATTCTTTCGACATTATTTATCTTCCAATCTAACATACAATAATTGTACTCTGGCTCAATTATTTTGTTCGGGACATTTAGATAAACGATTAGTTGAAGCCAATAATTTCATCTCGGAATACTTTTAAGATCCCGTCGTTTGTCTAATCGAATAGAAAACTCCCGAACTCGAGGCAACAATTTTTTACAAGAGAGAAAAACATGTCATCTCTTTCAGTGATCACAGATGTTATCCTATTAATATTAAGCAGATTTATCCGTTATTTATCCCTTAAATTCTACCAATTTAAATTCTGCACTTAAATAGTTGTTAAAAATTGGATTATACACTCCAAAATATTTCCACCAAAAAGTAGAGTTGGTGGGCTTTGTTTTCGTGTTTCAATAACTGGTATCAGACTTGTCACAATATACCTTGATTTATATCTCGTGCTCTATTGTTCCTAGCAACTCTGTCATCAGATTCACCGATCAACACGTGAACTGAAGATAACTAAAGTTTCACAATTATTTATTATTCTTTCTTGTACTCGTAACACTCTGAACATTACAAATATAACGCAACTATAGGGAGGGACTTCAAAGACAGAAATACATAATGAAATATTTTTTCGTGTATGGAAGGAAGTAACGCCAACGGAGAACGCGAACGAAAATAGAAAGCTATCAAATACCAGGGGCAGGAACTGGAATTATCTGATTACAATGACTATTTGCAGCCAGAATAATAGTTTAATACAATCAAAAACGTCGTCTGTCCTCTTATGTAAATAGATAATGGCAATAGATTTTTGATTCCGATGCATGGAAGAGGTCGATTCGGATAAACATTTCTTTCTCTACCTGAACTTCGAAGTTTGTATTCCCGTAATTTCCAATCTTTTTAATTTTGTATATCGTTGTGCATTTTTTCGAAGAAATAATGCGTACTTATGGCTTTAAACGTGTCACTCGATGTAATATCTGTGAGTGGCACACTTCGTTCCCTTAGAGAGTTATTCCTCTGGTTTTATAGTAATAAAATGCTGGAATATAATTCAATGTAAGCCCACTTACCAAAACTTCACTCAATAAAACTTCCAACTTATTTACAAGCTCACATTTCTTTAGACAGTTGCAATGCTCGTGAACACGTTTGAAAACTTTTAGTGATCTACTCACTATTTGATTATTAATAATACTTTGATATCTTGAAAAGCTAGAAGCAGCAAGTAATCTTTCTTACAGAGCGACTGAAAGGAAGGAAATGACATTTTAAGGAAACACATTTCTTAGAAAATAAATCCCCTTTTCTGAAAGTTCTAAAGCAATCGCCCGAGTGCTAGTAGTGTAGCTTTCTCACTTTCTGGAAACTTTGTTCATTGGTTTGTTGTAACGTATTATCACAATCTACCGTCCGCATAAGATTTTCCGGCTTGCGAGTGGTTTTTAGTATAGTCTCCGTGGTTGAAGAGACTGAAAGCCACTTTAAACTTCTTTGAAATGTCGTCTTTATTCCAGGAAAGAGTCAGACGATGAAGTGGAGGAACTTACCTGCCACCAACTTTGTACAAATCCTAAATAAGTCCAAAGAAAAAACACGAAACGATCGTCCGCGAAATAAAGTTACGACAATTAAAAATTATAAAGTCTATTAACTTCTACCTCCTATAAAATGAAACGTTCGTTGAAAGCTAATGCAGCCTTTTCCTCACCGAAGATAAAAAATATTGTAAGTCACTATTGGCTTTTTTAAATGGGTATTTATGTTGTTTACACAAAGTGAATACAGGTAGGGAAAATGCTTATTGCATTGACATTTTGAACACATACAAAAGAAGTGTCGGAGATCTAGACCCAGATTATTAATAATTTTACATGTCATTACTTAGCAACGCACGTTCATATATTGTTTATGATAATGTATGACCTTTGTGCTACAGCAACACCTCTGTAAACTCAAAAGATAAATTAGATTAAAGAAATTATATTAATCTAATGTTTGCATTACGTTCTGAAACTTGTATTCTTCTCTGGATGAAGTGTAATTACTGTTGTACAGTTAGCAGTAATGATAAAAAAAAACTTTAATATTTGTGAAATAAAGACTAACTTGCCAAAACATCATAGTATCAGGAAGTGATTGTGAATCAGAGCGTTATTTTGGAGTGTAGCCAAAACTACGAGTATAGTGGCTCTATTATTCCAAATGAAACCCCTTTACTTAATACTCCACTGGTATGTCAAGAAAACGCATCCAAGTAAAGGAGCAAAAAGCAGCTCATAACGGCTGCGTCCGTTAAGGATATTAACAGTCCCACCCGTTAAAAGCAGTCCAAACAAATAAGTTGTTTAAAAATATGGGGTACTTATATCAAAAGAATAGTTATTTATGATACAAGTGGTAAAAGTAAAATTTTATTTTGAGAGTACAAAGTATAGCGACACGAGGCCGATAGATGGTGTTGCGCAATCCTATGTGCAAAATGAAATGTACTATTTTTTAAACAGTCTTACTGACTTCCTTTTTATTTTAATTCAAGTGTACAAATCAATTAATAGCATGAAACATTAAGATCAGCTGTAGTTGATCAGACAGTTTAGCAAAGAAAGACCTGTTGCTAAAACTTGAACTTTGGAATTGATTCGGTCGCCAGACTCTGAGGCCCTCGGACGTGTCTCTTCCTTTATATCCCGGCCGCTATCTTGTGAACTGTTTTAATGTGATTTAGTGTTTTAACATTTTATTTATTTATGTGTGTGCGGCTGGGCAGCAACAATTTATTTGTGACAAACATTTTAATATCTATGAGAATTATTATATATGATGGAGGGTGGCGGCAAGTAATGCGAATAATTGCTTTTTGTGATCATCATTTCTCTCCTCAAGATTTGGCTGCACTGATCTGATTATAAAACATAATTACGCAAGAATCCCGCAAATATCAGGTATTCCAACTCTTAAATCGTGTAGGATGTCAATGACATTGTTTTCCTGTATAAATTATTACATGGTACCATAGATTGTCCACTATTACTTAGTAAAATGTTGTTTCGGGTCTCTAATAGGTCTACTCGTCATATTGAACCTTTTTTCTTGCGTAAATATTCTAAAATGTATACATCAAATAACTTTTTCTCTAGAACTTGTAAAATTATAAATAATCAAAATGTAGATATATTAGATCTTAGTATGAATGAGTTAATAACATGGTTGAGATCATCAGTTCTTCAATATGCATAAATAATTATATACTTGTAATATATTTAAATTTTTTATATTTAGTCACTATGTTATACTTGTAAAATATTTTCTTTACGAATTTTATTTTTGTTCTAAATTATTCTTATATTTTGCTATTTTGATATATTTGCAAATTGGACACAATAGAGTCCGTACAGTAAATAAATAAATAATTTTAGCATGTGTCCTAAAAGTAAAGGCTTTTACTAGTGGCTATCTAATAAAGATATTTCTTATTTTGCTTCATTTTTCTTATAAGAAAATATATGCCCTCGTGGGTCAATGCGCGGCAGTGGGCGAAGACGCTTGCCTTTCACTACTGAGGTTCTGAGTTGGATTCCCGTAGAATCCCCGTAGAACGTGGATCATGTGGAATTTGTTACGACAAAACGAGCTTGCACGCTTCACAGGTGCTAGTCCAACCCCTGTGAAGTGTCCTAAACCCTACCCTAATTCCTTCCCAATTGTGGCCGCTGAGTAGTGACGCAAGGGCGCGCAGTAGGAGGCGCGTTCGCGGAAATGGTACTTGGCAGTCCTCGTGACACCAGACTGCGTTGAGACGGGACAGATATAACATGAAGTGAATTCATGGAGGATTACTCCCGCGCTGATATTAAGATTACTCCGAAAGCACAAAGCGCTCAACGGGATTAGAGACATGTTGTGTCAACTAAAGAGACAACAAGTTTTTAAAAAATGGAATCTCGAAAATTATTTAACGACAAATGGGCGAAATTAGACATAACGGTCCTGCTTGGTTATAACCTCGACTTACCAGTGAAATTTAGAAATGTCAGTCACGTCCGTTCTTTGCTTTGTGTTGGTCTAATGACGTGTGTCGTGGTCGTGGAGAGGGGCGGGCGCCTTGGCGGCGCGTGGACTCACCTGCAGGTTCCAGTCGAAGCCGCCCACGTTGACGCCCCCCGCGTCGCGCCAGTGGTACTCCAGCGTGTTGTCGTCGATGACGTCGATCACCGGGCAGACGACGGTGTGCGGGTCGCGCGCGATGCGGTCCAGCAGCGGCTCCAGCCAGCCTGCACAGGCACACGCGCGCACTCGTCAGACACTGCGCCGGCTGGGGAGGCCCAGAGGCAGCGTTAACAGTCGATGACCGGGAGGTCCTACGGTTTGCATTCCGATTGTGAGCTTTTTTAGTCATTACCTGCATTGTTTGGTTCAATTGAACAACTGCCCAGATTCGAATTCTGGCCGGATGCCCGCTGAACGGTAATTATCCGTTGTGTCTCCGATAAATAAAAGGTGTATACCGAAGCTGTGTCTTAACATATGGAGCATGAACAGCATAAGGTCTTTCTTTCCTCATTTTTGTTCTTTTCCCCCTTACCCTTTCACACGAACTAACAAGCACTAAACTACCAAACATGTCGAAAGCATACAGCCTGTCTCAGCTAGGACGATAACCCTCTCGTAGAGATACCTGGAAAAGGAAATAACGCAAACCGACGTGGAGAACGTACCAGTGGGGGAGGAAAATTTGTACCCCGAAGGATATAATATGTACTACACTTACGGGCCTGATGACCGCAGATGAAGCACCCCAAAACACAATCATATTCTATAGTAGCGGATGATGCTTTTGAGAGGGGTCTATGTCACAGATACTTGAATCTCATAGGGATGTCCGAAGAACCGCTTGGTCCACGTAGATTCTTGCCGAATTCTTTTTACTGTGATCCATATTGAATTATTCAGGGGCCAGAAGGAATTGCATCACCTACCCTAAATAAACCACAAAAACTCTAAATAAACATGATTTTAAACTCGATTCACTCGATTTCTTAGTTATTTCCATCGACATTGTCATTTCAAAAGGTACTTTCCCATTTATTAGTTCTGTGATGAATATCCCAACCTAGAGTCTCGGAAGAACATTATTCTTACATTATCAGTGTTGACTAAATACTGGACAGAATCAATTTATGGAATCAAAATTGACTTGGAATCCAAATAAGGGCGGTTTTTGTATAAGTGATACACATTGTAGTGACATTTAAACGATCTCTTATGCCCATATCCTTCAACAGGTACCAACTTCTCCGTGTATCGCTCACCATATTCTCTAGAGCGGCCTTGTCGCGTTTCTTTGTTGGCCCTGTTCGTTATAAATGAAAATAATTGAGTTATCTTACTCCTATGCAACTAGTTTGAAATCTTCGTGATATAGTGATTGGTACTGTATTGGAAGACACTGTCGGAGCAGAGAACGTGGAGAATTGGTTGATAAGGGAAAACTGAGGGAAGAGAAAATATTAGTAGTGATGGAAGAGAGGATAGTTCAGAAGTAAAGAGTCGGTGGCAACTCTGAGAGAGGGAGTTGAGAAACTAGGAGAGACACAATGGCACAATTCCAGTCCGCTCTTCAGAGTGAACCACGGAGAGGGCACAGTAGAGTTGAAGTGCGGACAGGTCCACCGCAATACAATTACGAAAGTTATCCACCGCACAGAGGGACACTTAGGAAGGAGACTCCAAATTAATTTGGATAAATTGGCTCTGCCTTCAATCTAGGCGTTCTCCGGTTTGTCAAGCCCACGTTGTCAAGAAGTCCTTATCAATTCTGTGAAATATTTGGACTGCAAAGTTGCAATGTGTCAGCAGTGTTACAGACAGCATGTACAAAGTTATAATGTAATTCTGCCATTTATAATGCTTCTGTTCTAAGAAATAGTTAGCCTTAGTTCGGGCATCCCTGCACTTCCGATACTCAGAAGAAAATTAGACATGTTGCTTTTTGCTTGTAATGCAACACAATGAAAACCTTCCATGTTACCTTTCTATGTTAAAATAGTGAGGAATCTTGTGAGAAAGAAAAGAGGCAACAAAAGATGGCAAAATATGTAACAGGAGTTTGTCCATTATATTGTTTCGAATAAAAAATATATGTTAAATAAAAATGTTTATATTCGTATGTGAGTTTAAGGAAATGCATTATGAAGTTAGTTGAAGTTAGTCGTGCAATTTAACTGTTATTCAATATGCTATTTCTCTGTTTCCCTCCCCCCCCTCTCTCTCTCTCTCTCTCTCTCTCTCTCTCTCGTCTCCGGTGGTGCAGCACCCGCGGTTAAATTCTGGCTTGACTTAACCGCACTCGCAGAAGACTACCGAGATATGGGGGGGGGGAGAAATATCGATCGAAGAATTTGCCCACCGTCAAGTTGTAAAGATTATAGTAGGGCCAGAATGGGGAAGAAAGGATTGCGCTAACTCCATGGCGTATGGTACTATTCCAATAAGAGCAAGCCTTTAGAAATCTCATCCATACTGTGCCTTCAGCCTTTTCAGCAAGGGTCCAAAATACTCTACAGTTGGGACTCGAACCCAGGACTCTTAGTAAATGAATATTCAGTGGCAGTCTTGCAACCACACTGATGCAGTCGATTGTGCAGCTATCTAAATTGTATTAATTGAATTCATTATGCCTTTCGATTAACTGAGTTCAGCCAAAGTGTGTTGTGATTCAGTTGATGGAATCGTCCGAATTCCGCAAGGGTGCAACACGTAGTAAAGCTGCGAGTTGGAGCATGTGTCCACGCGCCACCCGGTCGATAGTGGTTGCTTGCGAGGGAACGGCCGCGCGCCGCGGGGGCGCGAGGGAGGAACACAGCGTCCGGGCGTTCTTTGGGCTCTCACGGACAATGGGGCAAAAGGGCTTCAGGGAACGGCATTCCTCGCGCGTCTCCCGCACTCAGACGCCGCCTGCCTTGACAGCTGCGATGGCTTAATGAAAACACTGTGCCTCTGCAACATCGTTGTCCGGAGATCCTAGGGCTTGAGTTCTGACAAAGATGGATTTTCGACACTGACTACATTTCTACGGTGCTGACTACATTGTTGAGTCGCAGTAACCACTGTCTGGAGGAGAATTCTAGCGGTCGGGTGCTCTGATTGGTATATTCCCGTATTTTTTTCGATTTGCACTAGGCAAATGCTGGAGAAGTTCCCTCAAGGGTATCCTTGTCGCTTTCTCTCCCCTTACACACCCACCCACACAGATCACACTAGCATCATACAGACACACACATACACATACACATACACATTTTAGACTATTTGAACTGGTTAGAGATACATGACATATCATCTTTGGGGAAGATAAAATTAGCAAAGAAATAATAAAGTTTACATTTACGTAAATATTATAGAGAATACACTAAGTAAATTAATGCATTCTGGATGATACAAAATTTTGTATTCTCAAATTATTGTTTGTACAGTGTTTCTTTCCCTGATGTAAAACTTGGCAAGTATGTCATCAAATTTGCTCGTTATGGTAATTTTGATAATACAAGTAAATTCCGTTGATGGAAAGCAAGTATGTTGCAAGAACGTTGTCTAACTAAATACTCTGATAAACTCATCCCTCAAACTCAAATAAGTTTCCTTAATTCCTATTAAGTTATCTGAGGCAGCTATTTCAAGTTTCAAACTCCATTGAAACGTCTACAAACGAATTTGGAAGTTTCAGAACAATGTGATTTAAAAGATTCAAATGAAATGTAGAAATAATGTTATTTTTTATGATGCTCTTATAACAGTCCAAAGTAGTAAACTGTGCTTAAGATCATTTACTTAAAATCATAGTTAAGGAAAACTAGATTACAAGCGAATTATAACAATTACTACGCAACGAATTACACTAAACAAACGAAGTATAACACACACAACATTTGGTGTTGGAAGATTTTTTGGTTTGAGAGATTTTTGAATATTATTAAAAAGATAACTCAACTGCTTTTTAAGTCATTTTTTTACCTTAGAAATTTGCGTCACTTAAGCTTCAATTCATCTTTATTCAATGATGTTTCTAGAAATGAGTAAATACCATCCGAGAGCTTCTTCCTCCATCGAGAAAATTTTGGAAATTATCATGATGCTTTCTTCTGGTTTTAGTTCTCTTCTCATTGGGCAGTAGTATACGAGTATTAAAACCTGTTTAATAACTGGTTAATTCTACGGCCCATCGTAATCGTAACGTCGATTCTTCTAAAATATAGTTCCCCAAAATGGACGATACCGCCCTCTAGTGTGCGCTGAAACGATATAGGGGGAAGGCAGTGTTAGCGTCGATGTACATTGGTCGCAGTAGCAGTGGAACCATAAAACCGAACGCTTAGTAAAATAGTTCGGCAAGAATATTATTTTATTAGCTTTTGATTTAGAATAATATAAATATTTAGCATCACGTTCTGTTACAAAAACGCAATTTAGAGTTTGAAAAAAAATGAAATTTTATGTTAGAGAGGAAATATCTTGTAATATGAATTTCGGGTATTTAATTAATTGGTCGGACAATTCTTAGCTGCATGATGTCTTCTAAAAAGGAAGCAGATTACTACTATCATGAAAAGATTTGATTCTGTAATGTTTATAAAAACAATTAGAATATTAATAATGAAGTTGAAACCATTTATTACAATATTTTTGTGTTTGTTTCCATAACAAAATTAAAATTTGTTATCTTGCAGTTACCGTCTGGGTTGAGCAATTATGTGGAAAGTAAGTTCGGCACAATTAACGATTTCCAAGCTGTGACCTCGGCACTATGTACGAATATTATATTAATCCAAGAAGGTCGTCTTGGCAGTTTTACTGAAGGAATAATCAACAAACTTACTTGAAAAACAACAAACAATAATGAGGAACCTGTTGGGTTTCCCTTATTTCTTTTACCTAAAGAATAACTGTTTTTTATGAATGTTATCCTTTGTTCCAGTGTTGATTGAAAGGTATTTCGCTGTGTGTTATTTACGTTCGTATATTTGTGTTTTGAGTTGTTATTTATATGAAAACAATCTCTGTAAGGGAGTTATGCTGGTCCATGGAAACGAATAAAAAAATATTCGAGGAGTAGTATTTGAATAGTTATATAAAACAATAGGAAAAGGAAATTAATTGAAGGGTTGCATCAGAGATAGTCGTAAGACACAAAATCACTTCTATCAATATTCTTCAAATCACTACAGATTATTTTGAAACTGTGAATCGAACATGTTTCTAACCTGCACAATGACGAAGAGAAGAACATTGGTTTATAAATTCTTCATTCGACCTAGCGACTAAAGACCATCCCATCACCTATCTAGCTACCACCTTCTTCTCAAACATACCCCAAATCTCTTCACTATCAGTTCATAGACTCGGCAAAAACCCTTCACATAGAATCAGAATACAAAATAAATTTACCTTTCACATTTTCCTCACGAAATTCTCCGAACTAGATGCCGACTAGAGGAGCCCGATGGGTAACCTCAACATCCTAAGTTGTAATTTAAGTTAGCTATTAAGCCATCTAACATACGTATAATTAAATTAAACTGAACTATATATTAACCTTCTGTGTAAATAAATTTAAAATAAAAAAATAACTTCTGCATTTGCCGCTGAATATCAGTTAAGATAAAAAATTCTTAAACATCTTCTGGAAAACTACTTTACCAATACGAAAAGTGACAACCGCTAAGAGTGTGGCTTCTGACTATCTCTGAAGGAGCCCTTGAATCGGTACAGTAAAATAACGAACAGTAAAGATTTAACAAAACAATAAAGTTAGTGAGTGAACGAGTAAATGAGTTAGCGAGAAAGTAAATGGGTAAGGATGTAAGGGCAAGGACTCGCGCAGGGCGAGAGGCGGGGTAGGTGCCACTCACCGGTGGTGCACTCGCAGTGCGAGTCGAGGTACGTGAGCACGGGCGCCGTGGCGTGGCGCGCGCCCAGCAGCCGCGCGCGGATCAGCCCCTCGCGCTTGGTGGCGCGCACGATCTTCACCTTCGGGTAGTGCGCCATGTAGTCCTCCAGCTGCCGCTTCGTGTGCGCTGCAACAGACAGGCGATGCCCCACGCTCACCTCCTTCATCTTCAAACTGTATCAACGAGATTGTAAACAGGTTTACATGCGTGGATACTCAAAATAGTCGTAGGCAAGTGGGAATAAAGAACCAACTGCAAATGACGGTGTCAGAATGTTTTCCGTCAAATGATGGATTGCTGGTTGTTAAATCTCCGTGTTTCGAACTTACAATAAACATCCGTTTGCGAAGAATACTCTTGTAGGATGATCGATGGCGGTTGAATTGTTTTGTTTCTAAGTAAGTGAAATGTTTTTAAGGGTGAATATTACATGATAAAATAATATTGTTTGTAAGAGTGAAATGTGCGTATAGATGAACGAAACTCATCAAAACTGAATTCTCCATTCATCTAAAATTTTACTAGAGGAACGCTTGAGGCCTGGATTACAGAGCTCAATAGCATACATTAGAGGGGGATCTGGTCACATTTTCACTAAAAGCTCATTGAACTAATTACATAATATGCTAAATGGAGAAGATATGAGAAAAAGTGGCACGCAATTCCGAACTCAAAGTTCGACACTACGACAAACGGACTACTCACGGCTTGTGTGTATCGCGGGTTGCCTACGCGGGTAGCGCTTCATGTCCTTGAACCACATTCTTCCAAAGGTGGATATCAACTTCAGCCTACAATGAAAGAATATAATTTGAAAGAAATTATAATTCTTTTTATAACCATTTTTAATTACACCTCTCAGTGTCTAGTAGTCTTAGATCATTTCAAGGCTAAGTTGAAGACCAAGAATAGATCTATTTGTGGGAGAGGTACATTTGAAGATCTTCACTTCTCGTTCTTCTCAAGTTTTTAAAATTATTGTTTAATTATTATTGTTAACTAGCTGAATTTTTGCGAATACATCTCAAAAAGAGAAGTTAGACATGTTAATCAGAAAAGTGCAACAAACGCACCACAGCAAAACATACACCAAATCGACCCTCCCTCCCCAAATATTGCTCATGTTGTTCAGTAATTATTCCCTAAAACTAATGAAATGAGGGAAGTTTACAATTTTTTAATAATACAATCGCTATTCACTGTAAACATAGATTTAATTATGTTTCGGAAAATGTAATTGAAATGTATCATTTACCAAGATCTGGACGAGTGTGGTAGGACGAGTGTGGTTTGTAGGAAATTCTGCTATCCACCTTCATATAAATGGAATTAATCGCATATAATTATTATCCCATAACTGTTGTAAAGTGGAACATGTTTTAAGCACGCTTACTCGTGATAGAGCAAGATCTTATTGAAGAAGGTCTGTACACAATCAATCTAAGTAAAGAACAAATGACGGAAGAGAAGCGTTCATTCTATTAATTTTAAGATTAAAAAATAGTGTTTGTACTATAAAACTGGTTGAAATTAGAGAGCGGCAACAAATATGGGGTTCACTACCCTTCATTTTAAGCAAAAATCACTAAATAAGATTGAGTAAAAAGCTCAAATTACTTTCTAAACGATAGCCTTTAGTTTTTTATAAATAAAAATCTACATTTCTTATAGCTCTCTCGTTGACATTGTCACATTCATCATAATCTATGTTTGATTAGTATATTGGCAACATGTTCGAATATGATTTTTTAATAATGAACAATATATGAGTACTGAAAAGTGTGTTATTTCACTAATATATTGAATTGAAAGTGTTAAGACTTCTCATTGTCAGAAGTATTTAGAATTATGTGTAGTATACAAATACAGTTCGTTTACGTGTTTTGCTTGTTTCATGAGAGCGAAACATATTCGTTAATGGGAAGTATAATAATTAGTTTGATATTGCCCACGGCTTTTGAGAACGTGGAAGCTGTAAAGATACATGGAAATAGTAATTGCCGTTACAATTTCTCTGGAAATAGCCTCTCTCACTGCACCTTTCAGATCTCTCCTCATCGACATATCGAAGCATTATGCGAGGGTAGACATTAACACTCTCGCAGACTTGCAATCCATTCCGAGTCGTGTTTTTTTTCTTTCCAATGGCCGCTGTAGGAAAATGACTTCCTTCTCCAATTGGCCCTCGCGCATGAGTGACTCATCGCGGTTCCGAATAAAACGGAATTCGCCCATCGTCCGGCGCAGCGCACGGCACGGGGCAGGGCGGGGAGGGGCGGGGGGGGAGTGTGCAGCGGGGCCCAAGTGGGCGGGGAGGGGAGAAGCTTTTTAAGCCGCTCCCGGGCCGCTGAGGAACAATGAACATTAATGGAACAGAAAACAGAGAGGGGCGGCGGGAACGGGCGGGTCGAAGCGAGCGAAGAGGTAGGGGTCGGGGTAGGAGAAGAAAAAGGGGTGTGAAATGAGAAAAGGGCAGGAATCGTCAACGATTCGTCTTTAAACACGTTCATCAACGATTTCCTCTGGGACCGCAATAAAAAAAATAGTAGCCGGAGAAGTGGGACGGCCCTTCGCCGCGACAAGCCAACGGATTGGCAGCAGCTGTAGAGAAACGCCGAGGAAGAGCTGAAGGAGGGCAGGCCAAGAAGGGACGGCCACGAGGGGAAAATTGCGAACGGAATTTCGATAAAGCGTGGCGCAGAGAAAACCACGCGCAGTGACGCGGCAAATGACCCCGCGCCTGCGGATGCCGAAAGCGCAGGTCTCTGCTTGAGATAAAAGGTAAATACTTTTGGAATCCACGTAAATTTGGTATTTTAATTGATTTGGAGCGTCAAAACAAAATTTTTTCACGCTACCCAATTTGCGGTTTATCTTTTGGTTAAATGATCGGAACAAACATTTTCTTATTCATGTTGTAAAATAGACAAGAATTCCGAATTGTTTTTGGAGACAGAAAAAATAAAAGTGTTAGCGTGTACTTTCAGGCAACTTTCAGTAATTATTTTTATTCAAGTACATCCACGTAAATGACAACTGTACTACAGAATCTTAATTTTTTTAATGGCAATGAATGCCATCCATACTATTTCTAGTGTAATTGGTCAAGTTCGTTTGGTACATTTTTTAATCTTTATTTTAAGGATTTTATAATATTTTTCTCAAAATATTGCATGTTTCGAAACAGTACAAATTTTAATGAGAAACAACGTAATTGAAAGCTTGCCTTTATGTGTTAAAACTTCGACATTCTACGAACGATGGGCAAGATGTGGAAAGTCATATACTAGTTTCTCTGACATGTGCTTTGGCAAAAAAGTAATAATCAAAATACTCTAAAATTTTGTAACATTAGTTTTGAGTCTCCTTAACCATGAAGCAACCAGCGCATCCCCCCTTTGTTATTCGCGCGCGGCGCTCCAATTGCGCCCATCGGGGGACGCGCAAAACGACGCCTTCCCACATGGCGCACCGCTTGGCAGGTTTTTCCTAGACTTTCTTTGGCCTTCGCTTATTTGCGACAGGACGTGTGAGGCTGTTTCGTGGTGGGCGTGTGCGATTCAGGCCACGGTGTAGCAGTGACGAATATTTCCTGAATGGGCGAAATTCTTTTCATCCCACTGAGTCCAACCCTGGGATTTCTTTTGCAGACATTTTCCAGAACTAACTAGTTAACGAATTAGGTTGGATAAATGTGAGTAAAAAATTAGCTGGAATTTTACTTTTTTAGAAACTACTTAAAATTATTCAATTTTTTTAAAAACATGTACTAATTAACAAACATTTTTTCTGATTTTTTTCCGTTTAATTGCAGTTATTTGGACTACAGTTAATTTGTGGGCCAATACGTATAAAAAAGAATCTAATATCGTATGCTTTAAGAATGACGCCTTTCACAATACGATACTGTGTAGCAGTAGATAATACAAATTTTTGATGGGCTGAATAGCGTTAAAGACCATTTATCTTGTGTGAGAGTGAAAGTAGTGAAATGGAAGATTATTCTCTCAATATGTCCATCTGCTAAGCTATCATTATTCTGCTCCCACCCAACCTCTCTGTCTCCTTCCCTCCTAGTTTGCATTTCCTCGC